ACACGTGTTGACCCTCATCTCTGACACACCTGAGAAATTTAGCATCCTTCCTTTCATCCCAAAGCCTGACTTCCTATCCATCAGTTGCCAGGGCCTTGACTGCACTAATAGGCCTTAATTGCCCTGACCAGCCTCAGCTGGGGCTTCCACCCACACCCTCTGATGGGGACGTCATTTAAGCTCGGGCTTTGAGTAGATTCATAAAATAGAATCATAGAATGGCTTGGGTTGGAAGGGACCTTAAAGATCATCTAGTTCCAACCCCCCTGCAGGGCGGGGTTGGGCAGGGACATCTTCCACTAGATCAGGTTGCTCAAAGCCCCATCCAGCCTGGCCTTGAATGTTTCCAGGGATGGGGCATCCACAACTTCTCTGGGCAACCTGTTCCAATGTCTCGCCACCCCTACAGTAAAGAATTTCTTCCTAATATCTAATCTAAATCTACCCTCTTTCAGTTTAAAACCATTACCCCTCATCCTATCACTACGCTCCCTGATGAAGAGTCCCTCCCCATCTCTCCTGTAGGCCCCCTTTAAGTACTGGGAGGCTGCCATGACATCTCTCTGGAGCCTTCTCTTCTCCAGGCTGAACAACCCCAGCTCCCTCAGCCTGTCCTTGTAGGGGAGGTGCTCCAGCCTGTTATATGAATATAATATAAATATTGACAAGTAACAGGCCACTTTGTGGCCTGTACCAACAGGTCCATGTCTTTCTTATGCTGGGAGGACAGAGACAAAGGTGAGTTGTAGGCATCCTTGCTGCTAGTTCCGCTCCTAAATTGCTGTTTGGGTTTCTGGATTGACCTTGGAAATGGCTTGTTACCTTGTCTTTGCCTGATGGTCACTGGACCGCTGGACCTGTTGCTGCCACCGCTCTGCTCGCTTTCCCCTGCTGCAGCCAGACTGTGCCCTGTTGGTGAGGTCTTTGCCTGGCTTGTGTTGTGGTCACCCTCAGCTCCTGGCTTCCTTGTCCTGAGGGAAAGCGTAAGAGCTGGGTGAGGCTGGAGGCCCTGTGCACTCAGGATTCGGATATTGTTTTGCTCTACAGCATGTTTCCCAAGAAAAAGTGCCTCCCTTCCCCTGGCCATGTCTGCTGTCAGCTACCACTTGCTTTAATCAAAAAATAAATACATTTCAGTGTGGCTCATTATGCTAAACGAAAGCAACAGGGGGCTAATGAGCATTGTGAATGATCCATTAACATGGCAATCAGAGGTATCCTCAAGATAGCTGTATCTTTTCTGCATCTTTCTTGGAACACTCAGTAGCGTATTGTCATGGTTTAACCCCAGCTGGCAACTCAGCCCCACACAGCCACTCACTCACTCCCCCCCACAGAGGGATGG